GGGAACAAGAAATACTTTATATCAAAATACTGCGTTCCTCACGAGACCGCAGTGCGCGAGTTGAGTGAGCGACGTTCAGGAAGAGGTGACTGACACAGGCTGCTCCACACAGCAACAGAGAGGGCTCGGCTGAGCGAAAAAACACTTAACTGCATCACTATTTTTGTTGAATAGATGTTTGTACCTTAACTAAGTTCCGGAGGCAGTTTATAACTTTCGGGAAGCGGAGTTTGATCTGGAGTATATTCCATTATTGACGTCTGCAGACGGGTGCTCTCATGTTCGCTCTGTTTACGTAGCTCTGTTAGCTCGGTAATGGTAATTATTTGTTTCTTATATGGCTTGGTTGAATTCTAATGTAGAGTGCGGTCTGTTATTATAACAGGCCGCTGCTTATAAGTAGAACACACCGTTGCCATGAAAAACCGAGCGTTGCCATGGATTCTAAACGTAGAGACAGAACGGACTATTTTTCTTTTTTTAGCGGAAGCGATACAATCGTTTTTTAAATCAATAAACTCCTTTTTATATCCATATTTTGAGTCAAATTATTGATTTATTTGGGCTTCGGGCTTCTTGTCGGGCTCATAATCAACCTCCTCGCTATACATTATCCCTAACTTATTCTGTCTGTTCAGCGTCCTCCACCGTGGTGTTGGGGTTCATAATGTTCACAATTTTATTTCATTAGTTGTTGGTTTAACCATGGTTCATGAGGTAATGGCTGACTGTTATTTTCTTTTCAATTACTTTTCTTGTTACATGTTCATTGCTGGATTTATAGAAAAACATCAACCAATATTGCATATCCATAATTATTATAATGGATATAATTAAAGAATCCATACACTATAAAGTAAATTAAAGATTTTATGCCTATTTTGAATTTTACTCGAATACAAATACAAATACTTTTCCCCCCTGAACAAATACAAATACAGATACAAATACCGGCTGCTTTGCACACCCCTACTGTCAAGACAGGGGCTGAGGCCTGGGGGATAGAGACTTCACCCCGAGGTGGTGGAGCTCCTATTGGAGAACTTCAGTCAAGCCCGGGTCGATTTTTTTGCATCTTACGATACAACCCATTGTCCACTTTGGTTCTCCCAAGCATATCTAGCTCCTCTCGGAACCTGAACCTGTACGCTTTCCGCCTGATATCAATGCTCCCGGGAGTTCTGGAAAGGGTTTGCCAGGAAGGGGCTCATCTATTATTACTAGCCCCGCACTGGCTAGCCAAAGTGTGGTTCTCAGACCTAGTCTCCTATGGAGATTCCTATCAAGAGGGACTTACTTTCCCAAGCAGGGGGCATGATATTTCACCCTCGCTCTGAGTTGAGGAAACTCTCGACTGAGGTCGTTGAGACCATCCTTCAAGCCAGAGCTCTTTCCACGAGAAAACTATATTCTTTGAAATGGAAACTGTTCTCTACATGGTGTGGAGAACGTTTTTTAAATCCTGTTAACTGCCCGGTTGATACAGTTCTTGATTTCCTACAAAACTGTTTCTCTGTTGGATTATCTCCCTCCACCTTAAAGGTGGACGTAACGGCTATATCTGCCTATTGCTCCCCTCTGGGGGCTTCTTCTCTTGGGAGAGATCCTCTTATCACTTGTTTTCTTCGTGATACATTGAGGCCTGCATTGCACTCTAGAGCACCGGCTTGGAATTTGGCCATTGTACTTGAGGGTCTGGCATTGGCTCCCTTAGAGCCAATCAAAGAGGTTTCAGAGAAGTTCCTTACACTAAAAACTTTATTTCTTCCGGCTATTTCTTCTACCAAGAGAACTGGAAATCTGCAAGCCCTGTTGGTGGCTCCTTCATGTTTGGAATTTGCACCTGGTATGGTGAAGGCATTTTTACATTCCTAAGGTCCCCACAAATGGGATGGATGATATTGTGCTGTAGGCTTTTTGTCCTCCCCCGTTTAAGTCAAGTCAAGTCACATTTATTTATATAGCGCTTTTTACAATACAGATTGTATCAAAGAAGCTTCACAGTGATAACATGAAAATAATACAACACGGATCAATAATATTGTTGAATATTAAATGTCCCCAACTAAGCAAGCCAAAAGCAAGGCAACAGTGGCAAGGAACCAAAATTCCATCAGGCAATTGAATGGAGAAAAAACCTGAACCCAGGCTCAGTCGGGGGCCAGTTCTCCTCTGGCCAACGAAGGAACAGTGATAACAAAACAAATTGGATTGAAACATTAAAGGGGGGGTTGACTGCGATTTCACTTTTTTAATTTTAAATAGTGTGTAATGTTATCGTTATAAGCAGAGATATAAGGGAAAATATATAAGGGAAAATATAATCCATCAGAGCAATATATATCCCAGGGGTTCAGAATCAGGGAGCAGACATCCTGTCGAGGCAGGGGCTGAGGCCCGGGGAATGGAGACTTCATCCGGAAGTAGTTAAGTTAATATGGGAGAGGTTTGGACCAATGGAAGTGGATCTGTTCGCGTCTCGAGAGACTTCCCACTGTCTACTTTGGTTCTCCCTCTCACATCCAGCCCCACTGGGGTTGGATGCCATGGTACAGGCCTGGCCGAGGCTTCGCCTGTACGCTTTTCCACCCGATCGCTCTGCTTCCGGGAGTCCTGGAGAGGGTCCGTCAGGAGGGCATCAATCTTCTTCTGATAACCCCGTTCTGGCCGGCCCGAGTATGGTTCTCAGACTTAGTGTCACTTCTGATAGGTCAACTGTGGCAGATTCCTCTGAGGAGGGATCTGTTGTCTCAAGCAGAGGGCACAATATTCCACCCTTGCCCGGAGCTGTGGAAGCTGTGGGTCTGGCCCCTGAGGGGGCTCAGTACTTAGAAGCTGGGCTGTCAGAAGGAGTAGTTGAAACCATACTTATCTCTAGGGCTCCATCCACCAGGAGATTGTATGGCCTTAAAATGGAATGTTTTCTCTATTTGGTGTAGAGAACATGACATAGATCCAGTTAACTGCCAGGTGGCTTCAGTTCTGATATTTCCTCAAGACCGCTTCTCGGCGGGTCTCTCCCCTTCCACTTTAAAAGTATACGTGGCTGCCATTGCGGCTTTCCATGCACCTTTACACGATGGGCCTTTGAGGAGGCATCAACTGGTCATAAGGTTTCTCTGTGGTACTTGGAGGATGAGACCGACAGTTAGGTCCAGGGTTCCTGCCTGGGACCTAGCAGTGGTTCTCGAAGGGTTATCCCTGGCCCCCTTCAAACCACTTCAGTCGGCTTCACCGAAGGACTTAACTTTTAAAATGGTGTTTCTCTTAGCTATTACCTCTATTAAAAGAGTGGGAGATCTTCAAGCCCTGGCAGTGACACCAGCCTACGTGGAGTTTGCCCCTGGCATGGTCAAAGCCATTTTACACCCCAAACCTGGCTATGTGCCGAAAGTGCCATCTAATGTGGCTCAGTCTACGGTTCTTCAAGCATTTCATCCTCCACCTCATGTGTCGGCAGAAGAGGAAAGACTCCATTTCCTTTGTCCTGTCAGAGCTTTAAGAGTTTACCTTGAGAGGTCCTCTTCCTGGGGGAGGTCGGACCAACTTCTCGTGTGTTTTGGGTCACCTAGAAGGGGACAACCTGCTTTATAAGCAAACTATCAGTAATTGGATAGTTCAGGCTATTACTTTAGCCTACAGGGTGCATGATCTACCTTCACCTTTGGCTATTAGGGCTCACTCTACTAGAGGTATGGCATCCTCTAGGGCAGTGTTTCCCAACCCTGTTCCTGGCGGCACACCAACACTGCGTGTATTCTTTGTCTCCCTTATCAAACACACCCGATTCAACCCATCAGCTCATAATCAGGTGGGTTAATGAGCTGATGGGTTGAATCGGGTGTGTTTGATTAGGGAGACAAAGAAAACACGCAGTGTTGGTGTGCCGCCAGGAACAGGGTTGGGAAACGCTGCTCTAGGGCCCTTCATGAAGGAGTTCCCATTCATGAGATTTGTGAGGCAGCCAGATGGGCTTCTCCTCACACTTTCATCAGATTTTATAGTCTACACCTCCCTAGTACGCCTGGCGCACATGTGCTTTCGTCCTAGTTGAGTGCCTATGTCAGTTTCACTCCGGGACAGGTCTATTCGTTGCGTGGCCTAGTGGGCATTCATTCCCCAAAGTGTCGATTCTCAACGCAGTGTAGAGTTCCCTCAAAAGGGAATGTCTCAGGTTATGACTATAACCCTTGTTCCCTGAGAAGGGAACGAGACACTGCGTCGTTCTGCCACGCCCCCTTTAGACCTTAGAGCGTCTTGCTTCATCACGAGACTGCTGTGTGTTGCACCAGTGCTGCTTTTATGCTTCCGATAATGCCGTCACATGTTACGTCATGACGCAACACCAATCAGAATTGGACTATTTTCATTCATACTTCAGAGACGCATGCTACAGGAGCGTCCCCAAGTGTCGATTCCCGACGCAGTGTCTCGTTCCCTTCTCAGGGAACAAGGGTTATAGTCATAACCCCAGACGTTTTCCGCGCAGAGACGACACCATTGTCAAAGCGAGCCCCATTCACGTGGATCCACAAAAACAAATAAAAATACTGTATTCTGCTTCCAGGCCAGTTGATGGCGATGAAACAATATAGACTGAACATGTAATAGGCATCTGCATGACATCATCGTCTTCAGAGATTTGCGTTTTTGTTGTTTACACAACACCATTTTGAAACCCATTTTCAAATGTTTGCATCTTCAGGTAACCAATATGCCGCTGTCGTGTAAACGAATGGCCAAAAAGTTTTATGTTTTTAGTTGAAAGTGGTGTCGTGTAAACAGCCACCTCTGTTTTAGTCAGTTCCAATTGTCTAGCATTATTTCAGTTCTCTGTGAAATGTGATTGAGGTAATAATTGGGTGTATTTCATAACCATGCAAATAAGTATAGATGAAGCGGGGATCAAATATCTGAATATTCTCAAATTCTGAGATATTCTGAAAATTCTCAAACCAACCAGTTGTTTCACGTTCTGCTGTCTCTGTCTGTCTCCGCAGAGGAAGCTGAGTTTCGACTCGTCTCTCTTATGCCGGACTACACAGATCAACCTGATGTTCAGTACATGCAGAAAACTGAGTCCAACAGACCGTCCAAAAGCGTGTGAGACCAACACAAAAACAAATTACAAGTTAGCAAAGTTACGTAAAAGGTAGATTTTTTTATTCATGAAACAGAAACCGGTCCACTTTATGGAAATTGTGCCCTTATTATGTCTTTTATCTCACCATTTAAATAAGTAAAATTTTAATGTTGAGGTTTCTCACATGTGGTAAGTGTAAATGTAATACTGACACTTGGTTTGAATGTGTGAATATGTTGGGTATATGTGCTTTCCTCTGTCTGCCTTCTTGATCTTGTTGAAATGTATTTGAATTTTCCATTGTACCTCCACATGACCCAAGAACAATCAAATTAATAAACATATTATTGCGCAAGTCTTGCATCCAACTGAAAAGTGAGTGGGATGGGGTTTTTCAGCCCAGCGCAGTTGGTGTTCGGACATTCAATTTGTGGCCCCCTTAAGCTTCTGAGTGAGCAAGTACTTGAGAACGAGGTTGCACTTATACAGGTGACTTGAATATGCAGATTCTCTCTGTAAGTGTTTGAACCATGCTTGTGAACGCGCAAAGTTGAATCTAGCAAGTTCAAAAGCTGTTATGAAAGATTTTTACAATTGCAAAAAGCGTTGTTTGTTTGTTTTGTCCGGGAGAGTCAGTGCTGACTTTGTTAACAGTTCCTGGATCGTGTCTGTAACGGATCACAGAGACAGATGTAAATGCAAAAGACTCTTTATTAGTGTGTACACAGACACGATGGTCAGACACAAAACACAGGTAGTCAAACTCCACAGGTGCAGGTCGAGCGATCAGTGCTGGATGGAAGGGTGACACAGGGAGCTCGGTGAGCGACTGGTGAAGGTGATCCGTGATGACTCAGTGAAGTGCTTGGTATCCAGTGCAGGTGAAGAGTCCAGACGAGGCGAAATACACAGGAAATCCACAAGCCAACACGAGCACAGGAACACACCGGGGAAAACCACAACGATCTGACAACATGAGACACCAGTTACTGAACTTAGAAAGAGACAAACGGATTGAAACCAGCTAGCGCTGCTGATCAGCAGTGATCAGTGACCACGCCCACAGACACACACAAACAACAGCACGCGAGACGAGAGAGAGACAGTCAATTCATGAACAGTGACAGTCTCTGCAATCCCGATTTACTGCAGACATCCTAAGTCTCCCGGAAGTTCTGGGAGTCTCCCGCATATTGATAGCGTCTCCCTGATGCCTGCAAATTAGTTCAAATCTCCCGGAATCTAGAGCGAGACACAGATACTGCGCGCATAACATACATAGTGCGCTGCGTGTGCACTGTACAAGTTAGCCTTCCCTCCCACCCCCATAATCCTGTTACCGAAATATACCTCCTGGAAATGAATTCTTGCAGGTTGGGATAACTGTTACTGATCCCTACACAATAGAAAACAAAAAACGAGTGTAACAAATTACGTCCTGTCCTGAGAACACCAGATCGTTGAAAGAAAATGCGACTGTGTCACATTAACATGCCCTTCTGTTCTCCAGAGCAATGTTAAGGATGAAGTTGGAAGAATTCCAGAGCTGGGAGAAATCTTGCGAAACTCTAACAAACTCAACAATTTGAATAGCTTTCTTGGTCACCTGTCAGGTTATCAAAGAGAAGGTGTTATAAAAATTAAATGACAGCTTACCCAGTATTTTCTCTGATGTCTCGTCGTGCACTAATGTGTTGTTCCATGACATCGTCATTGGAGATGCGGCTCCATTTAGTTTTTTCGATTGCTTACACACTAAAATTAGAACTTTCCCACAATAAGCGAAACCTTACACTCAAGGAGCAAAACACCGGCCTAGATTTGCACAACTGTAAAGCACATTGTCAGCTTCACACTTTTTGCAAAACATTACACACAGTGATTTGCAAAACACTAATCACACTTGTATGCATTTGACACAGAAATTTATCATGATGTAATTTCCTTTTTAAAGATGAACTGAACTGAAAAATATCGACGTTGAAAACGTGTTGTTTATGACAATTAAAAGTAAATTACACTAAACATTTTTTTAAAATATATATTAATATAGCTTTTTTAAGCAACGCAAAATTGCGCTTGTTAGCGCTGGCAGTTCCGATGACGTCACTGGCATGGTAGGACCCGCGGAGCGCCATAGACAACAGCTGTAGGTCCTGTATACACAGACGAAAATGAGCGCTTTTAACGGCATGGATTACGCATTTGAGCCCGTGAGGGACAGGCCGGTAGTGTCTAACTACCACCACATGGAGGACGATCAGTTTCAGGCTTCACTTGCAGTACAGGATCGTTTGGGGGAAAGTGACTGTGGGCGCGAGCGCTGTGGAGCATAGACACTGCACGGAGACGATCTTTTGCAGAGAGGTCAACATGGACATTTATTGATCGGCGAAAAATGCATCACCATGCACCGTTCATTTCGGATGCTGTTCGGTGAGAGAAACGTGTTGAAGGAGGCTATGCTGACGCTAATGGATGTCCGAGCTGAGACGCTGGACCGCCCCATAAGTAGCAGGGTATTTTACGAATAGGTGACGGCTGGGCTAACTTGTTAGACTTTTCTTAGATTGTTTAGATTAACAGCTTACTGGCAGTTCACTCTATGGGCGATGGTGCATTTAAGAAGGAGAATCCCGTCCTTTACAGTGAACTATACATCAGGGATCTTTTCCCCCTCACCCGAATATCAAGGATTCGAGTAACGTTAACGTGATGCATTGAACTTGTAACTTGTGTAAATAAAACATTTCGTGCATTGTCAGACGTTTCATGTACTCATTGACGAAAGTACACATCTCTAAATAGTGTGTCGCTAAAAAATCTGTTTCCTCAGCCATGTCAGCGCGCCTCAGACTGTTTACAAGCTACGGCTGTTCTGCTGGTGCGGGTAGGCAACGGAGTGGCTTACCATGCCAGTGACGTAGTCGAACGTTGAAATCCAACATGGCGGCGCCCGTGTAACAAAAACAACACTTTCAATGTACCATTTTATCCCTTTTAACAAATTATGCCTTTTTAAAAATTGTACCAATGAGAATAAATAAAATACATCTGTTATATCACCTTTTCTCAAATTTCAGTTCAGTTCATCTTTAAGGCTTTCAAATAAACACACACATGAACCAATTGGTTAAACACAGCCACCAGGTGTGCACACACACTGGTGCTTAACTGTAGACACACTAATCAGGTTTTGTCACCCCGCGGCTATAAAGACAGGAAGCAATAGCGAGTCAACACAGTTTATTTGAAACTATAACAGTAAGCGGATGTGGAGACTCGTAACGCAGGGGCCAAGATGATCAGATGCGGTGCAGACGACAGTTGGTGAAGACAAGAATCCAACACGACAACGATAATCCAAGACGAAGACCAGAACACCAGCAGGGAGAGGAATCCAGAGCCACAAGACGTACATCAAACAACGATCTGACAAGGAATATGAAACAGTGGTGAGTATATATAGGGAGGTGAAATGGATTGCAGCTGGTGATGATCAGCTGGAGTGGATTAGGTATGACATACATTCACGCCCACTACACATGTGCATTCACACAACAACACAAACACGAGACTAAAAGGAAGCAGAGAACATATCTACCGTGACAGGTTTAAGTACTATAAAAAGGCAACAGCTAAGTTCACCTGTCTTCAAAATGGACGGTGTCAGAGGAAGAGGGAGAGGAAGAGGAACAGCTGGAGGAGTGATAGGACATGCACAAAGAAGAAGACAACCAAATTCAGACAGGGTGTAGGTCCTGCGGCGTGAATATATGGTGGTACGTTTTATTCACTGATGGTTGCAAAATGGAACACTTTTGTCAAAACTATTCAATGTCTTATAAAAACCTTCTTTTGCTGTCATAACATGAACATAACCATCAGTGAACTCGAGTCCGTTCCAGAGCCATGTCTCAAGATGGCCGCCGACGTTCCAGAATCTCAAGATCTCAACAAATCTCTCTTTGTTTTTGGCATTTTGGATCAATTTTGCACTTCAGAATCATACATTTTCATGAAAGTCATCTTTCTGTAGCACTTGCATGTTGATAATAAGATAAAGTTCAATATAGAGGTTTATGAAAAAGACTTTGGAACTGACTCTGATTTTAATGTTCACTTGAAAAAGGGTCAGTGTAAGATAAAAAACACAGCTTAATATAGTCGATTCATATAAAATTAGTAATTAACTATATATTTTTTTATATTTTTCTTGAAATGAATATATGAAAAAATGGTATTCAAAAAATTATTCATGTTCAAAGAGCACACCTACCTCTCTGTGTCCTGGTCCATCAAGAAAGGGAGCGGACTGTCAGAAGAAATCTTGACAATTGGTCCAGATCATAAGATCAAAGTAGGAAGCAACTACATTCAGCGTTACACAGACGGGGGGCTTCGCTTGGAACTTCCTGGAGGTGGATTTTATGGACTACTCCTCAAGAGTGCAAAGCCGTCAGACCAAGGGGAGTATGTGTGCTCAGTCCAAGAGTGGGTGAGGCGGGTAGGAGAAAGAAACTGGAGGAAGATTCAGGAGAAGTCTGAGGTTCCGGTTAAGCCCACTGGTGAGTCAAATTCATTTTCCAAAATATTATATTATTCATTATTAATTATTTTTTATGTAAATGAAGTTTCATTTATTTTCAAATTTAAATGTTGCCATGTCATAACAGACTAATAAAACATTATAACCTATTTAAGGTCTGCATGCAACAAATGATGAAAAGACAAGGAGAATGATGGAAGACAAAGAAAAAGAAGTGAATCGCAAAAATGAAAATATATTTATAAATATTTATATTTATATAAATTTGTCAATTGTAAAATTATTCAATTATTGATAAATTTGATACATTTGCAATTACCCTGTCTCTTTTTGCTTTTTAACTTAACTTACTTAGCCAAAGTATTTACTTGCTTAATTATTCACCTGAAAATACCTTATATGCAGTACAACAATAGAAATAGTGAACTGTTGTATGATGTACCCATGGTACATGGATGTGAGTATGTGTTCTAAGACATAATGAAAGGATCAAAGGAAGATCCTAAAAAAAGGACATTGGACATCTTGGCCAAGTCCAGTTTAGGTCATTAATGAGATAACTGGTAACACTTTACAATTCATTTGTTAACGTTAGTGAATGCATTAACTAGCATTAACAATGAGAAATATTTTTTTACAGCATTTCTTAACCTTTGTTAATTTTAATTTATAAAAATGTTCATTTTAGTTCAGCCTGAGAGATATTTGCATGGAAAATCTCCAAGTACAAATGGGTATATAAGGCAGCATGCAACTCACTCATTCAAGCTGATCTTTTGTATAACTCCGCACTCTGACTATCATCGTTCGTGTGCGCTAAACAAGAGAGAAGTGTCCTATGTTGGTGTGAAAGCCTGTTTAGCAGTTGTTGCATTGATATACTTTGCACAGTGCAACGCAGAGTTTAGATTTTAATGAACTTACAAAAACACATATGAATTTATATGCATGTACACATTCAAGAAGGACCAAAGAACCCAAGACTCGGAAGGGGAGAAAGAATGCACACTGCCTGCTCAGCGAATCTCAAAAGAGGAACTAAGAGTCGCATGACTATTGTTCGCATGACTATTGTGTTGCAAGTGTATCCGTTACTATTGTGTTGCAAGTGTATGGAAAAACCCAGATGGTCTGAGAGATTGGGTCACACAGCCAGTATAAATAAGGCTGCTTTTTCAGTGTTAGTTGTTGCATCTTGCTAGAAGATTTTTGCGTGCATCCGTGAAGGTAATCATTCTTCAGTCCAGCTTGCTGGAACATATATTGCTTTAACTGCTTAGCTGTATGATGATAACTTGACCTGCTCATAGAAAGACAAGGCTAGTTATTCATTTGATATTTGAACTGTGTATGTTAAGAAAAACTTTGTGACTGAACCACTTATACAGGACTGCCCTGTTAAGTTGGGAGAAACTGAGGTATTATAATCTGTAACCTTTTCTTTTGTTGCTACTATTAACAATCATTGTGTAACCAGTGTTATTATCGTTTGTATAAATAAATTTTCATTTTATAAAGATAAAAGTTGAATAGTTCTTTGCCTCGGGTCACAATACCAGTTCCATAAGCAATAGTAAGAGCATTAGAGCTACCCTTGCGAGGGCAAGAGGTCACCAGGACTCCACGGAAGCATCTCCACGGAGGGTGAGTATGAATTGCATTGATGGTTGTTGCTAGTAATAATGTATTGGTTCACATGAGTGTAGGGATACACCTAGATTTACTGGTATAGGTTAAACGAGCTATAAGGAACGTTTATCCAGAAATTCTGACCTGACAGCAAAAGGCACCTGGCCACTTCGATACCAGGCGCTCTTCAGGGCTGAGGTAATACCAGATCTCACCACATGGGGGCTCGTCCGGGATCTATTATTATCAATTTAATAATTTGAATCCGAGTGAACAATAATTATTAAAACACCATCCAGATCCGCTAAACAGTGTCTCCAGAGTTAAAGGAGAGGGTTACCGAGAGTAACTGTGTCTCCTTAGTGCAAAGAGGAAGTTACTGAGAGGGTGCTTCCTCATATTAACTGTAAAAAATCTTCAGGGACGCCTGAGAGATAAATTATATGGTTAAGCACTAAAAGGGGTAATTGATCCAGAGGACTGCGCAGAGGGACCACACGAGTACCCAATATATATATATAACCTCGAAGAAGGATAATTACCAGAACTCTCGAAAGGCAGACGCACAGTCATGGACAAGATAACTCATATTGCTTTACTCCCACCAGATAAATTTAGCAAGCGCTTGAAAGACGCAGGGCTAAAAGAAACTGAGGAACTCATAGCTACCGAGTGTACTTTGTATACACCTACCGTCGACGGATTAAGAAGGTTAGTTCAAACCGTTGGCGAACAAACTCGAAGTGATAAGATCACTGTAGAAGTAGGGGACCATGATGTCACAATACCGTTAGTTCCGGGTAAAGAAATCCAGGTAACTAGAGACGGGATCCCCGACCAACGGGCTCGAGGCTCGGCTGGATCTCCGTCCCCCTCAGCGCATACTGACCGGGAAGAGCCAGCCGAGAGCGTCTATAGCCGCTTGGAAAGGGCAGGCGCGAGAGCAGCGATAGGGTCAGGGGCGATACCTAAACATGCGAACTTTATCACCGGTTTCTCTCCCGCGAATTGGGAAGAAGAAACATGGGGGGAAAAGAATTCCGTGTTTAAACCGCGTCAGACTTCTACCGAGAAAAAAGATAAATACGGAAAACTGGTGCAGGAAGACTCCAGTGATAGCTCGAGTGCGTGCTACAGCGAAGATGAGATGTTGCCTAAACGAAAGAAAGTTAATTATAAGCGCTCAAAGAGTCTGTCGCGTGAGAGGCGAAGTAGTTCGGGACAAAGGGAGCATGAAAATCTCGGGGGTAGAACATTTTTAACCTGCCCGGGTCTAGTGTTAGATTCGCAAGATCCGCAGTGGTCAGCCCTTACAGAAGTGCAGCAGAAAGTAGTCAGACTGGCCGTGGGGCCGACCTCGGATGAAATCTTAGACATGCCGGGAACTAGTTTCAAGGCTAAAATAGATATGCTGGCGGAACAGCTGGATTGTATGCAAAAGTCATTATGCTACTTGCTGTTAGATGGTCATAAGCCGGCCAAGCAAGAGCCAACCGTCAATGACGTGAGAAAAATGAGGGAGACAACTTATAGGGAACCGGAATCTAATAGAGACAAAAATAAGAGCAAAAAGGAGAAAGCTCAACAGAGAGATGGCTCCGCTAAAATAGTTGCCAGGGAAAGCCTCGAAAAATCCCGTGGTAGGGAAACACATAGGCAAGTTGTAAAATATGAGGAGGAATCTTCAGACTCGCAGTCCGAGTATGACTATTTGACCTCTGACACGGAGAGGGATTGCGGGGGTGAAGAAAAGGTATTACCCTTGAAACAAGGAGTAGATTTATCTCTCACCGCGGCTCTGGCAAGACAAAAAAGGGAAAAGAGGAAGTCAGATAGAAATGAGGAAGACGTAAGTCTGAAGCCTAGGCGGGGACCACCGAGACAAGCCAAAGGCGACAGAGTGTCTGCAATTCAGTTACTGCAAAACATGAGATTCCAAGGTGCCAAAGATAGCATGCAGAAGGCAAGAATGATAGCAGCTCTAGGAAAGACGCTGAATGCATCCACTGCCTTGATAGAGCAGATGATCCGACACCACACTGGGATATCGTTGAAGTTGCAGATAATAGAATCCCATTTCGATCATGTGATAGGGAAAAATGAAAAAGCGGAAATAAGAGATGAGTTAGAGATAGTAAAAACTGTAGGCTTATGGGCATACCTTTCTGAGAAAGCCGACAAGGGCTGGACGGAAGAAGAGGTACTGGCGCAATTAAAACAGCTGGCTCCTGAGCTGCCAGGCTGTAGAGAAATCACTCGCTGGGGGGCAGAAACTGATTGGTCTGAAATATCTAAATTCGCAGTGCGGTACGATAGAGACACTGTAAGAATACGGGAGGAAAGATCAGGCCGAGGCAGAAGCCGACCGCTAGAGGGGGTTAGAGTAAAGCCAATAACTGACTTCAAACCTAACCAGAGTAGGTCTAGTAATGATGACAGAGTTAAGCCAGTCAGGAGAGAGCCCTCAAAGAATCGCGCTTACCAAAAACCTAAGCACCAGCCCAGACAAGAACAGAGAAACAAGAGTGAGCAAAAAAATGGCTATATAGACTCTGAAACATGGGCAAAAATGACAGATGAACAAAGGAAGGCGCAGAGGGAGAGGCGTCGCGGAAGAGAGGCGCGGAAACCAGGGCGCGCAACAGCGGTCAGAACTAATAAGTCCGCTAGAGCTAGTCACCAATAGGACAGAAAGGCTCCAGGAAAAGCGACCATTGCTTCTGATCTAGTTGAGGAGACAGAAGAACAGGATTTGTTTATTAATTATAAGGGGATTAAGTTCCGTCTCGATACCGGAGCGGAAATAACATCAATCACCGAGCTGCCTCCCGGTGCTGAGAAGCTCAGTGGGCAGTATAGGGTGTATGGTTTTAGTGATGAAATGAAACCAGTGACTAGAGATAGATATTACTGGGAGGGAATACACTGTATTGTAGACAGCTCGAATTTAATGAGTCTTAAAGATGCGATCTATGTTAAGGAGTTGAACGATAGGAATCCTGATAATGATAAACGAATCAGATGGCTGAAAACGGTCGACCTGGAGCACGAGATAAATAGACTCGTAAAAGAGACTCTATTACCCAAAAATGAGTTGAGGAAATTACTAGAGAAGTATAGGAATAGTTTTGCAAAGAGCAAAAATGATTGTGGAAAATTAGATGATAAATACGAGTACACCATATTAGGGGGAATCCCCGCGCCGCAGAGACAGTATCCGCTGAATAAAGCCGCTTATCCGGAAATAAGAGGGACGTTGAATGAATTATTGCGCAAAGGGATCATAAGTGTGGGGGAGAATTGTCCAACGAATGCCCCTATACAGGCGGTAATAAAAATTGATGGCTCGTACCGTTTGGTGTGTAATTTTAAGGCGCTGAATAGACTAACGGTGCCAGACACCAGATATTTGATCAATGCTAGGGATGCGACAAACTGTTTGGATGACGGCAAGATATTGTCAAAAATTGACTTAGCTAATGGATTCTGGTCGGTGCCTCTAGCAAAGGATAGCCGGGCAAGGACCGCTTTCACTTTCGAGGGAAAGCAATATGTTTTTAATCGATTACCTATGGGATTTTGCAATGCGCCTAACGCCTTCCAGGCAATAATCCTGGAAATATTGGAAGGACTGCCCGTTACGGCTTACATTGACGATGTATTGATAGCTACGCAAACCACGGAGGAACACATGAGAGTCCTGTCCGAAACTATTAGGAAATTGGCGGACGCTGGTTTTCTGCTGAACTTGAAAAAACTAGAATTAGGAAAGGAGAATGTCAATTTCTTAGGATTTGAAATTTCGGGGGCCGAAAGGGGCATAGCAAAATCGACGCAAGAAAAATTAGAAGAGTTGAAAAAGGAACGAATCACAAATTTGAGGCAGCTACAGAGCCTGCTGGGGAGATTAAATTTCGTGCGAGACCTGATCCCAGGGTATAGCGCCAAGGCTAAAATACTGTACAAAGCAACGGCAGGGAAAGACTTTCATTGGGATGATAGATTGGAAAGTATCAAGTGCGATATTATTAACATGGCTTTGGCCTCGGGGCGAATTGTCCGGAGGAACCCTGACAAAAACCTCAGGGTTAAGATTGATAATACCCCCGAGGAAATGGAATTGATATTATATAACGAAGGGGATACAAAATCCCCAGTTATGTTCATTTCGCACGAGAAACCCGCTAACCATAAGAAGCATGAGAATATGTCACCTGTTGATATTCTAGCCACAATTGCTAGGAATCTGCTCGTTATTAAGGCATTGGCGGCTGAAAAGTTGATTATTATAGTTGCTAAAGGGGAGGGGATCGACCTCTTGGCAAGGGAAGCAAAAAACTTGGTCAATGAGAATAAGCGCGTGCATGTTTTCACCTGGTCGAAGTGGATAAAAATAATTGATGATAACCAATTTGAGTTTAGGAATGAGAAAAGTCCGAAAAAGGACAGGAGGACCGTAATAGATCCGGAACAGATTTGCTACTTCACGGACGGTAGTTCGGAGAAGGGAGAAACCTGGTGGGGATTTATGGTCAAATTGAAAGGAAAAATTATTCACAAAGAAAAGGGCAGATTAGATAATGACAAAAGCGCGCAGGAAGCTGAGGTTACAGCGGTTGCGAAGGCAATAATGCACATGAGGGACAACAATCGTAAAAAATGCGTATTAGTCACCGATAGTGAATACGTGTATTTGGGCATTGTTCAAAACCTGTCCACATGGGAACAGAATAATTTTAATAATGCTAAAGGTAAACCACTGGCGCAGGTGGAATTGTGGAAAGTCATTAGTGAATGTGCCAAGGTAGTGCAACCGAGAGTGTTGCACCAGTCCAGTCATACGGTCCAGAAAACTCCAGCAGCTGTGGGAAACAGGGAGGTGGATCAGTATGTGCGCGTGAGGGCGATTACTAAAGAGAGTGAGGGGAACCTACTCCAAGAGCTGCACGATAAGCTTAATCATCCGTCCACGACGTATGTTGCGAAATATTGTAAGCAGCTGGGACTGCATGTGCAAAATCTAAAGACCAGCTATCAGAAAATTAAAATAAAGTGTCCTGATTGCAGAAAAGTGATGTCCAGTGTGCATCACGATTTTGGGCACATTAAGACGGAAAAAGAGCACGAAGAAATAAGTGTAGACTTTGCTGGGCCTTTATATCCAAAGACAAAGATGAAGAACGTGTATTTTTTGGTGGTAGTCGACAACTGTACCAACTTTACGCAGATTTATCCGTGTCCACAGGCGACCAGCTCGGTGGTAGTGAACAGTCTGAAAGAATGGATAAAGTACCGGGGAAAGCCCGAAAGGGTCCGCGGGGATAATGCGCATAACCTTACAGGAAGTGAAGTGGAAACGTTTTGTAAAGAAAATGGTATAGCCCTAGTAAAGGCCGTGAAATACCAAGCCGCAAGTAACGGGATCGCAGAACGCGCCGTGCGTAGTGCAAAAGAGTTTTTCGTGAAGAATCAGGGTTTAGGTGATTGGGATTCGATCGTTAACCTGTGTACGCATTATCTTAATTACAGGGTCGACAATCCTAACCAAAAGCCCGAACCGCCAGATACAAGCAAAAACCCGTTTAAGGTAGGACAGACAGTTTACATCCTACTTAAACGCAAAGATCAAAGATTCAGGGCAAAAACAGGGACTGAAGATAAGGTAGTCGAGTTAACCTCCAATACTACCGTTAGGTTGGAGGCGAACGGGATTTGGTCAATCCGAAATCTGGTGGGGAGTAAAGATTGTGTATAAGAGCATGAATCAATTCAGTACAGCCAAAGTGTCGTTCCAGCTGGGCGTGAAGTGTCCAGCAGAGGGCGTCATAGTAGTGTGTAAGGATTTGAGTGATTCATTCTTGGTGAAGACATGGCATAAAGACTGTCAGGAGGGAACTCCGTCAGTTAGGAGGAAGCCAATTGACTGTGTGTTCTGTAGCAAACAGGACGTTTGCAGCCTGCTCTGGGAGGGGCCGAGAGAGATACGGGAAAGTCAGGCGTGGCTGAGAGCTCAGCTGACAATTTTGCCCAAATGGTTCAGCACAGATAGGTCCATTGGGGCCTGTGCGGTGGGAGACGTAACTGTATGCGGAAGCTGTCGAACGCAAAGGCAGCTATGGAGTATATGGCAGTATGAGCTAGCCGTAGGTACTTGTGGATGCAACACTTGTACCGACTGTAGATTGAAGTACAATCTACGAGGTCAAGAATGTAAGTGTACTTTAAATGACCTAGGTGAGCTTGCAAAATGTGAGAGATGCAAGCTGATGCTGAAGAAACGATGGTTAAAAGTCACCAGTTTCAAGGGTGTCTGGCAAACTAGAAAAAGCGAAACAAGCTTGGGATGTTTGGCCAAAGACAAGATCATGGCGGAATGGGATGTGAATCCATTGGCCTTGATCAGCAACACGGAGAAAGCTTTCTTGTGGGAAAGGTTGCTGTGTTCAGGGGGACCGGTTCCAAGAGATTCGGATCCGTTAGTGAAAGGTGGGGTATTAGATGTGACCCTAGCCAGAGACAGCGACCTAGACCTTTGGAAGGAAGTCATAAGAGACCCAGTGTATGAGAAGGGGCACCCGGTTAGTTATAAAACCAAAGGGGTGTATAAAGAAACAAGTATGCATGAGATGATTACTGACTTGATTAAGGAAATGTCTTTTCAGGAAGAGTATCCCATTTACATGCCCAGAGAATATAGCCATTATGTCAGGGAAACTTCTCTGACCGTAAGGGCTAGATCACAACAGACTTTTGTAGGGACAGATAGGGTGAAGATTAAAATGGGCCTTGGCAACAGAAGTGAGTTGTGGGAATTCAGGGTGCATTTGACCACTACATCCGACTTTCTCGGAGTAGGGAAGGCAATAGAAGGGGTCAAACTTATCAGATCAAGCATAACAAAACCCAGCTCACTGAGCAGAATGACCATCTGGATCAGACAAAAGCTAGGGAAAGTTTAGGTTGATGTATGTCTCTGTGTCTGTTGTGTGTTTTACAGAAGCAGGATGGTGAAACAGCGGAAACATCTGAAAAGGAAGTACCTAAAGCTGCAGAGGAAGCGAAGCAGCTTGGGAATCGGGCTGTTGTCAGCGCTGACTATGCTGGGAGCAGCATTGTTAATACTGGGTCTGGGATTATCAGTAGATAACGAGACAGAAGTGGTTAGCGTATCATCCTGTTCTGTTGTTGAAAAATTAGTGTTAAAAATATGCTATAAGCAAACAGTAAATATTGGTGGGGTGAAATATGGCTCAAAAATGATAAGGGACATGTTTAAAGGAATGATAGAACATATAGACAAATCATTTTGGAACTGTACAGGGGCTCGGAAAATAAGTGCTTCAAAGGGGCCAGCTCTTTACGGGGGTAAAGTAATCAAGAATAGTACCAGGTGGAGATGGAATATTCTCGACGGTCATAATCAGACGCACGTAAAGCTAAAGGGCCTAAAGTACAATCTCACTGATATCACTAATTTGACGTTTAGTAAGCATGTGTACAAAATATGGAATAGTCCTGTACTCCAGATAACTGGGGTGCAGCATTGGGATTGTCTGACCAAGGAAATTGTTACGGAGCATAGTAATAAATGGTTGGGTAAAACTGTTGGGGATCAGTCGATAGAGATTGAAATTGATAAAGTTCCAGCAGATAAAAGGCGTAGCGGTAGATCTGCCCCAGAGGGGGCAAATTATCGGATCACGGACCAAACATGGAACAATGAAGATAATTCAGAACCAGTGCAGCAAAGTTATTGGCCCAAGGGCCTGAATCCGCACGTTTTAATTGTTGGAGTTTATAAAAATAAACCTAAGCCGGCCTATGTTGAATTAAATTGGGTAACGTGCGAGCAGTTGGTCATGCCTATTGGGATGTGTGAGAGGCGCAATAAGTGCCCGTTGCTGACCAAGAACAAATTTGTAAGTAGTAAACCGGAAAATCAGTTTTGGTACAACATTGACCAGCATTGCAGAACTGATTATGGTAAGACAACCGCATGGGTGTGTTATCTGAATAGCACCTCTAAATGGGACTATAAGGAATTCGAAAAGCACGGTAAAGATATTATTAACCTGTGGCATGATTGGATGTTGCTACAGGATCCGAGTAATGACATGGTGAAGAGGGAAAGTAGGCGCGATACGTGGACGATCAACGCCACCTTGTGGGCGAATGGGGTAGGGGGTAAGAGATTGCATCCCCTGACCTTAGATTATGCGCCCAGACCAGGTCTGTCGATAGAACTGGCAAATTACTCGGGCATAATGGACTATATCTTGAGTAATGTGACTAACCAGCAATACAGGTCCGCTCTTGCCCTGTACTGTATGGGTTGGGACGGCGTTCATCGGAGTACCCATACAAATCAAGGTATTTGGGCGAACCATAGTGATGCTGCTAACAAGGGGACTTTAAGATGGATTGGACTTTCTAACCTTATGTATAGGGTGTGGGATGTTTTTCCAGTGGTAATGGGGCTGGATAAGACAACGACGCGTACTGTAAGCTGGAGGTCGTTCCATAATCATCCGGCTAATAAGAGTATATTCCCGATCGTGTGGACAATATGGAATAAAACCGTAGGGTTGCAAACCAGAACGTTGGCGCATGGTTTTTGGAGTAGTAAATATTATTTGCCGATGTTGAAACCTTCAGAAAGGCGCGGTGCGACGAAAACTGACTATAAAATTCTGATGGCCTCGCCCAAATTTGATATCAAAGACAGTGGCTCATTCTCGAGACATAGTCTGAGGCCTGAGGACCATGACCGTGATGAGGTGAAGAAACGGTCAAATGTCTGGAACATGGGTTTGGGAAAATTTGTGTACAGGCATTGGGATGAGGTTAAGTATTTGTGGATACCCGCGAAAGAGCAATATTGTGACATGGAAATGTTTAATTCATGGAAAATTAAAACCCCAGGAAATATATTTAGTCCTAACATTACGTGGATGCATGGAGATGAACATGTTTTTTGTACTTTTAAAAATTTCAAAGTGATTGGCGCAGATCGGGTTGGTAGTGTAAGTGGGGCGGTTGATATAAGCTCGATAACCGGTGCAGCTCCCTTTATGATGATTGCGCGTAATCAGATAATGAAAAAAATGCGCTTTCTCCGCTCTATTGAATAGTGCCGAAGAATCACGGAGTTTTTATGACCCTATAGACGACTTTTTGGAGGGACTGTCCATGGGGCCAGGGTTTCTGTTTTTTTGGGACTTTGAGTCTCAATGATTAAGCCAAATAGGGGCGATA